GATTTCATAAAAGTTTTGATTGTTTCGTAATATAAGTATTGATCATAATTAATGAATCATATTCATCTTCCATAAATATTCAAATCATAATAAATGAACTCTCATCATTTTCATAAATATCTCAATTTATTGGGTTGCATTGGTTGTACAAATGCGATGAGTTGTATTTGAAACGATCTCTCTCTCTCTCTCTCTCTCTCTCTCTCTATATATATATATATATATAAAATTAATCATAATTAAATTGTACATTTTTAAATAAAAATGAAATGAAAAAAAAATGTCCTTATTTAATGGACGATGATCGTTAAGTTAGTGAAGGGTAAGGGTGTATAAAAACCGTCAAAACAATCAACTCAACATTCTTAACAACTTAATTAAACCCAATTCACTATATATTATTAGCTTATTAAACTGTTAAATTGTCAATTAAGATGGTGGAAATTGGGTTAGTCAAACTCAATCCAACCCAACTCGCTAACTCACAGCTAATATATATAACTTGAATAAAAATGTATTTATATCAATATATATTATACTAGTCTATTCAATATATATTAATTGAGTTTATGTTTACATTTTCTTTTTGTATAAGTATACTATAAATCACCCGGTCCAACCCACATACACCCTGATGAAAGGACGAAACCCGAACTAAATAACAGCCTTTAATATGAGTGCTCATAGGTTGGGTTGATCGGGTTGAAGCCATTTGAACAACTTAACCCATTGCTTGTGGTTTGAAAAATCTTAACTCAATCCAACCCGAACCAAAGTGCAACCCAACCAACCCAACCCGTGTGGATTGGTCGGGTTGGTCGGGTTGATACTTTGGTACATTAAAATATCTTTCTAACCTAGAATATGCTATTTCTCTACTCATAATTTCTTTTTCATCATTAACCATTTGATACAACTTATTCATACTTCTTATGTATATCACATTCAATTATTTTTCTCAATTTACATATATATATACAAATGAGTTATATAAAGATATGAATAGATTGAAAATATGTGTATATGAAGAGCATACATGATAGTGTAATTGTCTAATGTACATATTAATAGAAATTCAACATTCATATTAAATACAAGAAGTAAAATGATATCGGGTTCATCGGGTTAGGTTGAGTTAAGATAATAGTAACACAATATCAACCCAATACCTACGGTTTGGCAATTTTACAACTCGATTAGACATCGGGTTGCTTTGGATTGAGTTATTTCGTGTTGGGTTGATTGGGTTGGTCGGGTTTTTTAACAACCCTAGCCCTTAATAAAAGAAATTGAAATAAATAAAAAAATTGTTGGTAAGAAAATCGATAAAAGACAAGAACCAAACCAATATGGAAATAATTATTTACCAAAAGAAGAAAGAAAAATAACAACATTTTCGGTTGAGGATTTTGTAAGATATAAAAACCTCTTTTTTTGTTTGCGAAGTTAAAACATCTTCAAAAAAAAATTAAAATGGATAAAATAAAGAAAACGAGGATTTTAAATCAATATTTTGCTCCAACATCATTGTCAAAACTATTTTCAAAATGGAAAAATTAAGAGAGATAAGGATTTTTTTTTTCCTCCAAATATGGATATAACCTTACAAATGATTATTATGTGAGACCATCAATAGAAAACTTTAAAAATAAATAGAGTTAAATGTATGAAATAGTAACTTACTAGTTTAATTAATATTAGTATATTAATGAATAATTTAAAAAATTTCTAATTCATTTAATATATTTATTAAATAATATGTAACATGTCAAAGTAAAAATATATCAAAATTGAAAGTACAATGTTGTTATAAAAATCGATAGATGCTATAACAAAACAATTTTGAAAGTATAATGATGTAATAAGAAATGTCACATCAGCTATGGTACATGTGGACAGTGAGGTGGAACAAAAACCTGATATAGTAGATAAATTTAAATCAAAAGGTTACTCAATACTATAATAAGTAAAATTTTCAAAATACAATGTCCTTATAAAAAATAATTAAAAAGTACATTGTTTTAATAAAAAAAATTTAAAGTACAATGTTACAATAATTTTTTTTTATGAAAATAGCTTGTTATATTGTGTATTTTGCCCAAATAAATATTTAAGAAGAGAAATAATATTTTAATATGTTGGATTTTTTAAAATAAAGAATTTGTTGGAGATATATGTAATTATTTTTAAAGATTTTGATTTTTGGTTGTTGGTTTTAAAGAAATTTTAGATAATACCTTGGAAATGTTATTACTTCCTTTTTCTCATATTAATAACCAATAATAATTCTTAGAAGAATCTTTTTGTGGGTCTTATTATATTTTTTAAATATTATAAAAAAATCATTTTACATGAACCAAAGTTTTCGTATAATAACTTAAAAGATGTAAGTAAGGTTTTTATAAGAATATTCTTGGACAACGATTTTTTTAATAACTTATGCTTTTCATTTATAAGAAATTTGTATTAAGATGGTATGAGAGGTGATTTAATTAATATTCCAATCGGGTATCTACCACATACATTTAAGATTTTCTGTGGGTTCCTTATCCACCACATGTAATTCGATCTATTATTGTTTTAAATACAATCACATATCGCTTTATGGTTTACAACTAACGAAATGATATCAAATAGCATGTGGTCATGGTGGTCGGAACTTACCGGTAACAAAGAAGAGCTCACTCTCGCATTACTCGCTATTTCAATCATCACGGTGGTTGTTTCATGGTACAGATCTAGGAAGCATACTTTCCCGTTACCGCCGGGACCTCGTGGGTTGCCGGTGGTGGGGTACCTCCCGTTTCTAGATGTAAATCTGCACCATGAATTCACCAAAATGGCTCAACGTTATGGCCCCATTTTCAAGCTCAAGCTCGGAAGTAAAACCCACATCGTCGTCAGCTCCTCAGACCTGGCTAAAGTTGTAGTCCGTGAACAGGACGACATTTTTGCCAACCGAGACCCACCGGTGACCGGAATAGCCATCACATACGGTGGCCAAAGTATTGTTTGGTCAAACAACAACTCCCAATGGCGTAACATGCGTAAAGTGTTCGCGTATGAAGTCCTCAGCAACAAGAATCTGGAAGCTTCTCAGATTTTCCGGCGAGGTGAAGTGAGGAAAACTGTGAAGCGTATGTATGAAACTATGGGGACGGAGGTGGACATCGGAGGGATAACGTTTCTGTCGTCGCTGAACGTCGTAACGAGCATGATGTGGGGGAAAAGTCTGGTTGATGAAGAGAAAAGTAAGGATCTTGGAGTGGAACTCCGGGAAGTGATCTCGAAGATAGTGGAGCTTCTGGGGACGGCGAACGTGTCGGACCTTTTTCCGGTGGTGGCGAGATTGGATTTACAGGGCCTGTTACGAGAAATGAAACGGCAAAAGAAGGTGTTGGAAGGGATTTTCGACAGGATCATGAATGAACGAATAGCGACCAAAGTGGAAGAAGGAGGAGAGCAAGCAGGAAGAAAAGATTTCTTGCAGATTTTACTGGAGCTTAAAGGGGAAAATACAGCATCCTCCTTCACATTTGATCAAATAAAAGGCCTCTTCACGGTAAAACCAACCACAAAGATGATATATATGTGTATTATTATTTCAACCAACCACAGTTAGTTTAGTGGTCACTGATTGATTTGAGTTTAAAAGAATCCCAATAAGTATTTTTAATATATTCATTTGATGAGAATTGCAAGTCTCGTTTTCTATATGGGTTCAATGTATCAATTTATCTTTATTTTATCGTAACAGGAAATTATAACCGGAGGAACAGATACAACATCAACAATGGCAGAATGGATAATGGCCGAGCTTCTACAAAATCCAAAGATATTGAAGATGGTACAAGACGAATTAGAAGAAGTCGTAGGCTTGAGCAACATTGTCGAAGAATCTCACATTTCAAAATTATATTATCTAGATGCAGTGATTAAAGAAACATTTCGATTACACCCTCCACTTCCTCTTTTGATCACGCGCTGCCCAAATCAATCTTGCAGCGTAGGTGGATACACAGTACCAAAGGGTGCCAACGTATATTTGAATGTTTGGGCCATACATAGGAATCCTGAATATTGGGACAATCCTTTGGAATTCAATCCTAAAAGGTTCATAAATCCCGACGGAACATCCAAATATGATTACAATGGATATAATTTCAACTATATCCCGTTTGGATCCGGTAGAAGAAAGTGCCCTGGAGTACGTTTGGGAGAGAAAATGTTGGTTTATCTTTTGGCTTCGTTGTTGCACTCATTTAACTGGACTTTGCCAACTGACAAAGAGCACGACCTCTCTGATAAATTCGGCATTGTCTTAAAGAAAAGAAAACCTCTAATAGCCATCCCTTCCCAAAGGTTATCAGATAAAAACCTCTACGAGTGATAGAAACTGTTACTATGTGAATTTTAATGTGTAATAATTTCTCAAGGTATAGTAGTGTGCAAAAGGAAGTATGAGAAACAAAATGAAACATGAACAACTTGTCCGATGTTATTGTTCCATTTTTGTGCGAGTAAACTAGAATTTTTATCATTGTTCTACGTCAACTTGTCGGACCTTTTGGAACTATATTTGATTGGATCGTCGCTAAAGCTTGTGAAAATTCGATCCAATTGCTTAAGTTTCTTCTTCATTTTCCTCTCCACCCCTTGTAGATCGAACCATGTGAGAATCGAAAAAAGATCAGGCATTCGGCTGACTGACAAGCTCAACGATCTCCGAAACTATCATCTGCAACTCACCTACAAGATTGCTATCTTTTGCCCCTTCGACCAATGTGTTCTTTCAGATAATGCTCGTTAGGACTTTGGCTTCTGTCGAGAATGAAATCTCGTTAATATCAATAGCCATCCCTATTCTATCATAAGCATTCTTGATGGTTTTTCGAACCTTATCTCTTCGGTAAGATTGACAAACTTCGAGACTCTTGTTGCTTAAGACCTCTAGGACCAATATTTTACGTAGCTTACGCCAATATGAATTGCTGTTGGACCACACTATATCTTGTCCAACATAAGTGCTAGTTGCAGCGGCAATTGATGGTTTGCGGTTCGCGAAGGTCTCATCTTGGTCATGAACCACAGTCTTGGCTAGCATGGGCGGACCTAAGAGGGTGGCATGGGTGGCACGTGCCACCATATTGTTTCGCAGCCGAAGGGTAAAAAATTTAGGTTTGTTAACGGTGCTACCGTATCGTTTTAGAAGGTGCTACCGTATTTCCTTGAAATCCAAATGGTGCAACTAAAACTTAAACAAAACAAAGTCTAAATAACCAAAACCATACTTTTTGTAATTATTTTTGGGTATATATTGACCATTTTTAAAAGATGAAGACGCGTCGGGTACAAGTTTAGGAGTTGTTTATCGGTACTTAGGGCTGTAAACGAACCGAACGAACACGAACGGAGACTTGTTCATGTTCGTTCGTTTAACTTAACTGAACAAACGAACGAACATGAACGGTAAACGAACAAAAATCTTTGTGTTCGTGTTCGTTCGTTTGGAAATAAGGTGTGTTCGTGTTCGTTTATGTTCATTCGTAAACATGCTAAACGAACGAACATAAACGAACGAGCTAAACGAACATAAAAAAAWATTATTTGAATTCAAAGTAAATAAATAAAAGATAATATATTAAACTTAATATAAAAACGAACATAAACAAACGAATATAAACGAACGGTAAATGAACGAACGTTCACGAACATAAATGAACAAACGAGACTCTTGTTCATGTTCGTTCATTTAACTAAACGAACAAAAGAAAATAGTTCATGTTCGTTCATTTATTAAATAAACGAACATAAACGAACGGTAAATGAACGAACGTTCACGAACATAAATGAACAAACGACTCTTGTTCATGTTCGTTNTTCGTTCATTTATTAAATAAACGAACATAAACGAACGGTAAATGAACGAACGTTCACGAACATAAATGAACAAACGACTCTTGTTCATGTTCGTTCATTTAACTAAACGAACAAAAGAAAATAGTTCATATTCGTTCATTTATTAAATAAACGAACATAAACGAACTTACGCCGAACAGTTCATGAACGGTTCGCTGAACATTCGGTTCGTTTACAGCCCTATCAGTACTATAAAAAACATATTTTTTGTAATTATTTTTAAATGTATATTATACTATATTTATTATATGGTGCCACCGTTTGAAAATTTTTCTGGGTCCGTCCCTGTGGGCTAGGTCCAGGGAATTGACCACCACATGAACCTTACTTCCCACCTGGATCTTGAAGATGGGTCCGTAACTATGAGTCATGTTGGTGAACTGTTTGTGCAAGTCGTGGCCCAGAAAAGGGAGGTAGCCCACAATTGGCAAGCCACGGGGACCTGGTGGCCATGGTGCAACATTTTTTGGGGTGGTGGAAAACGTGATTTGTATCATAAAATGACTAAGATCAGAACTAAAATGGTGAAAAGTGCAGGAGTGAGGTGGTCATCGCTTGCCATCATGACCACCCTTGGTTGATCAATGGTGCCATTTTTGTAATGATGAAAGTTAAGAACACTAATATAATGGTGTTAATATAGTTTCAATTAGTCAAAAGTGGTTTGCTGCCCTTTAAAGTCCATATTGGTGCACATAAGTCAAGCTTTACCATTTTGACAAATGACAACAGAAGACTATACCATTCTAAGTCATTTTTGGCACATAAATCAATAGTACAATAAAATTGGGTTTATAGAACGTCAATAATTATTAAATATTCTGATAGATCATCTTTTAGAACTTTATTTATGGAACCGAAAAATATTTTTTTTTTAATCTAAAAACGTTATAATAAGTAACCCAATACATTAAGTATTCAAGTCATTGAAAAATTGGAATAATAATTTATTAACTTTAATTGTTGGTGCATTTCCCGTTATCCACTTGGTGATGTATATAACATATTAATCTCAAATACAAACAAGTTAACTCTAAATATAAATAAATTAACTCAGATAGTTTTTTTTAGAAACATCAATTTTATTAAGAAACTGCCGAGGCTAGCAAGATGCTAGCACTTACAAAAGAGCCGTTAAAGGGCTGATACACCAAACATTCCAATCAAGAGAATTACAAGACTTCGATCTGATTCTAATCCAATTAAAAGAAAAAAGCACGATATCCTTTTAAATTACCAGCGGGTTTTTACCGGATTTGTTGAAGACCAACGCATTCCGATTCGTCCAAATCATCCAAATAAACGCCATGAGAATTACTTCCAAGCCCTCCTTAACCTTCTTCCCTTTGAAAGGAAATTGTGCTGCAGAAAAAAATTCCGCCAAATTGGTAGCTTGGCAAGGAAAACCCGACCACCAATTCTTTACATACGCACCGATCACCTTAACTCAGATAGTTAGTCTCTAATTAACAAAAAAACTTAAAGTCTAAACATTAACCCAGATTAACTTTAAACGAGTAACCTAAAGTTTATTGAGAAAGTCAAATACACACAAAATAACCTGATGAATAGTTAAAAAGATATCATGTTAACACTATTACATCAATATAAACAAATTTAATCTAAGCAAAATGCTGATAATTTTTTTTATTCATGTTAAATTTTATTTTTAAAAAAACCACCTTATTATTGACACTAAATTTTAAGGAAAAGTCTAATAAAATTCAACAAACCTTCTCAATTTGAATGGTTTAGTCCCTAAACTATTTGTTTGAATGAAAAAGTTATTTCTCAATTTGAATGATTAAGTCTGTGAACTATTATGAGTGAAAAAACCATTAAACTTTTACATTTTGAATGATTAAGACATTGATTTTTTTAAATAAATAAATCGTCGAACTTTTACTAGTTGGTTAATCTAACTTTTTTAGGTTAAAAGAATGTAGATAACCAATTTTTAAAAGTGCAATAATTTATTTATTAAAAAAATGTTTGAAGATTTAATCAATCAAAATGAGAAAGTTTAATGATTTTTTTCATTCAGAAAAATACTTCACTGACTTAGGGGGTGTTTGGTAGTTGCTGAATGGTTTGGTGCTGAATGATTAAGTGGTCAGAATGACTAAGAGGCTCTCATGATATATTGCAAAATGAAATATAATTGTTTGATAATTGTTTACGATAAAATTAGAACGCTGAATGGTTAAGGAAGAATCAGGATGAAAAATCATTAAGAGGATTTTAGAATCATCAAGAGGCAGATTTTTCTTCTTCAAACAAGATTCATCTCTTAACAATTCAGATGTTACCTCTTAATCGAAATATTAAGAGGTAAACAAAAAACCCTTTAATTATTTAAAATGAGAAAGTTTAATAATTTTTTCAATAAAAAATAATTGAAGGACTAAATTATTCAAAATTGAAAATTTTATTAGAAAATTTCTAGAAGAATTGTCTCCAAACATCGAGGTAAATGTATATTTAAATTTAATAATGATTAAATATTACATTTATTATAGACGCATGTCATTAGGGTTAAAAGATATCCTTTTTTTTATTTGTATCAACATTTAAAAATACAATTACTTTTAAAAATGTTAAATATTTGTCTAATTTTAAAAGTATTGACAAGACATTGGGACGATATATTTCGTAAAAAAACATATTTTTAATATATTTAAAGAATTAATTAATTAATATGACATGAATATAAAAAAAAAAAGTAATTTAAAAACATTGAAATTGCTCAAAACCTTTAACTTATCCCCAACCACTGTATCTTTGACTTTTTACATAAAATCCCTAAAATTTATTAAATTTATGATTTGATACTAATAAAATCTTATAGCTTTATATTTAAAGAATTTGAAGAATCTACAATTAGGGAGTCGGGGATTGTTTATTTAAACACTTGTCCCGTAGGTACTTACCGATAAAATTTAATATTATTGCTTATTTTTCGGACAAAGATTTTATTCACTAAAACACATCGTATACAACAATTTATCCCGGTAAACGTTAACCATGGTAAGAGTCATTGTCCTCGTTTACCGAATAAAACTCAAAATTCTTGCTTTCACTCTTACCGGGTAAGATTTTTAGTGTTTGTCATATTCATCCGGTAAAGTAAATTGACTTGGTAAGCGCTTATCCGAGTAAACGTTCGGTAAACGACTACTTAATTTTTGTGGTTTCACATATATAACGACACCCTAACAAGTGATTAACGTTATGGATAATAATTTATATCTATTAATGTATGTATCGATGGTGACTCTAGTATCACGTTGGCAAACAGGCCTACAGAAATATATAAAAAAAGGCAGAACACAAATCTTATACTAACCTTGACGTCCATAATACTTGTTTAAAATTTTCAGGGGTGTTTGGGATTGTTTATTTAAAACTGTTTATTGTCTTTTGTAAAAGTGCTTATTAACTTATGTGGTATCAAACCAGAATTTTGTAAATGTATTTGGATTATCTTATAGCAGTACCAAAAACTAATAAGTTGTTAAGTTGTTTTTTAGGGGATGTTTGGGATTGCTTATAAAAACTGTTTTTTAATTTATTTCAGTCTGGCACCGGTGATAAGTTGTTTTCTGATGTTTGGATAAGAAAAAAAACTGCTTATACCGGTGTCAAACCGGTAATAAACCATTTTTGATAAGTTAATCCTTCCTGACTTATGAAAAACTGTTTATTACCAATTTACAATTTTAACCTTGTTTTATTTAACTCCAGTTTGATACCACATAAGTTAATAAACATTTTTACAAAAAAAAAACATAAGTTTAAATAAGCAATCCCAAAAAGAACATTCTTCTATATTATTGACTTACAGGAGTGTTTGGGATTGCTTATTAACTTATTTAATTTTTTAGAATGTATAAATTTATTTTTCATCATTTATAATAATAACTTTGATAAAAATTTATATCAATAAGATTAATAATTAACAAACATTAATAAAACATGGATAAAATGGTAAACTGATAATAAACAGATTTTCATAAGTCATAAAGGATTAACTTATCAAAAACCGCTTATTACCGATTTGACATCAGTATAAACAGTTTTATTTTTCCTCATCCATACACTTGAATTTTGCTTATCACTGATATCAGATTGAAATAAGTAAAAAAAAACACCTAAATAAGCAATATCAAACACCCCATTTCTTGCATCTCATGATACATCACTTGTGAGTCTTAGCCGTGGAATGTCAATCGTACATTGTTGCGCTTGGCAATCTTGGTGTCGGAACAGCAACGAGAGCCACTTTCTTCTTCAACACAATCCCAAACTTCTCAGACATATCGAGTTCGTCTCCATCACCTAATTCCCAATCGAAAGAATGAATAAGGGACGCGAGCAAAAGCATAAACATGCGTTCCGCCATTGCGGTCCCTGCACATATCCTCCGGCCAGAACCAAACGGGAAATAATTGAAGTCATTCCCACTATAATCCCACTTGTTATCCATGAACCTTTCGGGCCTAAACTCCAATGGCTTTTCCCAAATTTCGGGGTCTCTATGGATCGCCCATGCATTCACAAACACCCGAGCACCTTTTGGGACCGAGTACCCACCAATGATACATGACTGGCTCGGGCAATGTGGGACCAATAGTGGAAGCGTAGGATGCAACCGAAGAGATTCTTTCATGATCGCATATAGGTAGGGTAATTTGTTGATGTCGGATTCTTCGACTATGTTGTGCTTTCCGACCACTGTCTCTAGTTCTTGTTGCGCCTTTTTCAGGATCTGTGGTTGGTTCATCATCTCGGCCAGGGTAAACTCGACCGCATTCGAAGTGGTATCCGTCCCTCCAACCACCATATCCTGCAACATATACAACATGAATCACTACAATAAAATTGAACCCTCCCTCTATATCTGTATATGTGTATATATTTGATGAAGTATAAAGTGGATTTACCATGAGCAAGGATTTGAGGTGTTTGAGAGTGAATGGTGTTTTGGAATCTCCACCATCTTCAAGCTGCAACAAGAACTGTAAAAAATCTTTGTTTTCATCTCCGCCCATCTTCCTTCTTTGATCAATCATCGTCTCAAATATCCCATCGAATCTTTTTGCCAACACAGTCATCTTCTTTTTTATTCCTTGCAGGTCAAACCGGGCCAAACCCGGATAAAAATCCGACAGATTGGGCATCCCCAATAATCCGGTCATCTCATTGATGACTTGCCGGAACTCTGCTCCTAAACTTCTTCTATCCTCCGCCTTCACGGTGCCTCCCCACATCATGCCGGTAATCACATTCAACACAGTCAAGAACATCTGCTCGCCGATGTTCACCGGCGACCCGGCTCGGTTGTACAGGTAGTTCACGGTGTTCCGAATCTCTGTCCGGCGGAGAGAGTAAACAGAGTCCAAAGTTTGGTTACAAAGCATTTCACGAACACAAATCTTTCTCAACATCCGCCACTGATCGCCGTACGGCGACCAGACGATGTCATTTCCACCGTAAGTAGCCTCCTCGCCTGCAACCGGAACGTCTCGGTTGGCGAAGGTGGTGTCGTTGAGTTTTAGCACTTCACGGGCCAAGGCCGGAGAGGTGATCAGAATACCCAATTTTTTACCGAGCCAGAGCCTGGTAATCGGACCGTACGTTTTGGCGAGGGTTGCAAAGTAGGAGTGGAGCTCCGGATCAAGAGACAGGAGGTTTCCGACAAGTGGCAGAGATGGTGGACCGGGCGGCAGTGGCGGGTGGGAATTCTTTGATGTCAGCATCCGTACAAGCCAGAACAAAGAAAGCCCAGCCGCGATGAAAAGAATAGCGGTTGGTAGCTCTCCGGTTCCAAACCAGCGCGACCAGGCGTCCGATACGGCGGCGACGACTAGTTTCAACATCACTGCGATTAGTGGCGGAGAAGTAGGAACGGAATTGAGATGGAAGATAAATGAAGGAGCATTGGAAGCTAGCTAAATAAAACGCCTCCATGATCGGCATCACAGGCATCTTATCGGTTAGATTCTAGCGAACAAAAATACAAAATACGACTCATCCTACTAAATCTAGCTATTGAATTTATCTTATTTTATTTTCTTCTCTTTTGTTTTGATAAATAAATATTTTAGTTTATTGTTCTTAAACCCTGTTTCTAAATAAATATGGGGTGGGCTAAATGCATCCTTATGCATTGCTTAATGCACTCTTACCATGAATTTCTTCCTCACACACATCAACATCAATGTATGCTTTTTACATTCTCAATACTTGAAATGACCTAATTCTGACATGAAAGGGGGTGCCATTAGCACTACCCATAAATATATGTTTTCCTGCTCTTTAATTTATTCATACTAGAAGCATACTCACGTAATGTAGCGAAATATATCGTGATTTTAATATTTCATTTTATTCTTTATCTCAGTCGATGTTATAATATGTCTTTATATGATTTTGAGAAAGCGATAATGTTTTTATTTTTGAATAAAATATATGTTTGAAGATATCATAAAAATTTGACCAAAATATATTGATATTAGTATCAAATTAAATATTTAAAATTCCTTATTTTTTGTGTAATTTTTTAATTTATTTTTTTTATAATTTAATTTATGTACAATAACGAAGTAATTTATATTTGGTTTAATAATATAATTTTTTATAAAAATAATAATTATTTATTTTGTTGGAACTCGATAATTATTCTAGTTATATTTTAGATTTTTTATATTTTAAAATGAGATGTTCATYCTCTATTTGATTATGTTTATCCGCAGTTATTTATACGAATTCAAACATCGAGTTTTAATAAGTTATATTTATGCATAATTACTTGTAATCTTAAATTTTAAGTAATATGCATCAATATAAGTACTTTATGCATAACAAAAATATATCGATATTCGTATCAAATTAACTATTTAAAATTCCTCATTTTTTGTGTAATTTTTTAATTCAATTTT